CCCCCATTGCCTTTCTCAAGCTCCGACCAATTAAACGCTCATTTTCGTCAGCAGATGCACAATTTAGGGAAAGGTGCTCTTGATCAAAAATGTCTTCTTTGCAAAACTTAAGGAAGAAAAAAAAGTTCCTTGTGGCTTTTCTTGTTTCTCGTTAATGTGCTTTGCAAGCCCAGTTAAGCAGCCTGGGGGGGGGGGGAATCTGTAAAATAATCTAATTTGCGTGACTGGTTATTTGCAATCCGTTATTTCTGAGAACAGCAGTTAGCTGCCAGGCTAACGTCACTAAACGAGACGGGTGTGGCGCGCGCACACACACACACACACACACATATATATCTTAAATCTGCATATCTTTCAGAGTTCAATAATTCTGACCCCATTGTGAAGCTGCATAAGTAGTGATATCAACTTTACCAAACAATGGAGCAGCTATGGTACCATCTACTTTATAAACAGCTGCTGCTGTGTACTGAACCAGATGGCCAATCACTGCAGTGCTCACCGTAGTGATGACACAATAGATTCACCGGCCATACTGTGTCGCCCAAGTCCCTTATAATGGTTTAGTCCTGTTTACCGTTCACTAGACACAAAGAGTCGCCAGACAGTCGCGGGCAGAACGGCTGTCTCTCGTCCCGCTCGCGCTTCGCCCGAGGAAGCCAAAACGAAATCTGTGGCGATTCCTTTTTTTTTTTCTTAAAAAGATCGCTACGTCAACTCCTCGCACATGCGCACTTGATAAATATGCACGGTCGCACCCCACAATTTAAATATTCAAGTGACTCTTGCATGGTGACATGCAAGATGTAATGTAGAGTTTGAAAAAAAAAACATTTAAAAAAAGAACAGACGCCTTTTCAACGAGTGCTATGAATGAGCTTTTAGACAGGATTACTTTCTGAGGGTGGAAAACTAATTACAGTGTTATTTCTCATTTGATTTCTATTTTCTTGCTGTGTTTTGTTACTCCCATCGGTAAGTATCATGAACAGCATTAATTGACTAAACTGAAAGTAATCGCTCTTGTTGCCTGTTTTTCATGCGGTAACATAAAATTCTGTGTATCTGCAACAATACAGTTACAACCTTTTTGTTCACATTCATTTCAAATGGCACTGGGAACCAGTCATACAATCTATTAATCGCTTTGTTAATCTCGCGCACTGACAGACAGACAGACAGACAAAAAACTCAAGAGAAACTAATCAGTTCTGAAGTCTGAACAAATGTTGAGGGGGGAAAATAGTGCTCAGTTAGATATTCATGACATGATGGTTGTCATGCACAACTGAATGAGCAGGGCCTCAATTTAGCCTTAAATTAAACCTACCAAAGGATAAACGACAATGGACAAGCTGCATCTTCTTGTATTATGGGGTAGGACTTATGATAATGTTCAGAGGCTCAAACCCAGTGGCAGATCATTGATTCTGGACAAATTGAGGAACGTCATGTCAGGTGGCAATGAAGGTCTAGACAGTCAGACAACGACATATTGCTTTACAAAGGTCTAGCTGTTATCAGCGGAGTGTGGCAGTCAACAATTGGATGCAGCCATGTTTAACAAATACATTCTGTCTGCACAGAGGCTGACCGACATAAAAGCTTGCCGCAAGACAACAAACAGCAACAATCCCTTGTGGCACCAAAACCCGTCTGATACCCTCTGGCTGCTGCCCAGAATTTAAGAGAATCTAATTTGTACTGTTTCAGTGAAAACTGCTGCAACCCTATATGCCATTCAAATTAAAGACCACCCATGCGATTAAGGTTCCTTTAAAAATGTTGACGAATATCTCAAACGTTCACTAAACAAGCACAATAGTTTAGAAAAAGAAAAAAAAACAGGCTCTTCAAAAAGGCCTGTGTCGCAGCACCTTTAATCTCGGAGATTAATTCGCTGCAGCTCTAATACTTTGTAAGGGCTGTTATGCATCTCTTGTCATAACAACCAAATCCACTTGAAAAATTAATTAGCGCTGAAACTAACGTAAAAGGGAAACAACGTTACAGCACCCCCTACTGGGTATACAAACTACTACAATCAATTTCCTCAACACTTAGAAAAAAAACTTGGGGAAAACGACTTTCCCAGTTAGTAGGTCTTCTCTTCATACTGCCTTAAGTACTTACCGCTGTTTTGTCCTCCTTCTCCCACAACTGAAGCACATCACTGATCATGGAGCATCCATTTATTGCCTATTACGAGGAAAGCGACGCAAATATGTAATGCGAATGAAGTGCCACGACATATCCACCATTATCCATTACTTTATTAATTTATGGATTTTCTTCGATTATTTTTTGTCTATACAATCAAAGTTACTTCGTCCGCTGTAAACGATAATTAAGTTGAAGCGTCAAGTTGCAGTTAGTTACTAATATAAAACGTGTTGCGCAGTTATCTGTGAAACCTTTTCAAGCTACTCCAAACGACGACAGTTAAAATAAGTTTAAAAAGCACGCAACTAGCTGTTACCATAATAAATGCTCAAACATGTACACTGTACGGTGCATATTTACCTCCTCCTCCGTTCAAGCTCCAACTTCCAACTGTATAGATTGAAACTATTTCCAGAAAAGACGCTACGAGGCAGTCTAGGAAATCGCGATAACTTATTTGAGGGCTGATAGGCTACAAGTTCAAGTATTCTTTAATGATCTCTTTATAGTATTTCTTTAACTCTGATTATTATTATGATGCTGTTTTAAATAAAAAAAAAAACCTTCTGCGACTCTTTAAATTCGGTGCAACATGGGGAATTCTTTGAGAGCACTTCGCAGAAAAGTAAAAAACAAAATGCTTCGTTAATTTCAAAACAAAGAGCTAAATGCTACTTCGACAGCATTATTAAAAGGGATCACTAAACACTACCCCTTATTTCAGAAGTCCACATTTCATGAACTTTGCAGCATATTTCTTGTGATGGAAAGCCGCACACCGGACGATATGCTTAAGCCGACAAACCCTTCAAAGTAACGTCTCTCTCACGCGCCGCCAGAGGAGAAGCCCTTGAAGCTCACTAAATGTACGACTGGCTCCGGGGATTTGAGCCCATCCGAGATCTCAGTCTGTGTGAAATTCATGACAGCGATTTTTGCCGCACTGTGGTCAAGTTTCGAGGTGATGTGATACAAACCTGGCCGACCGCATTATCAAGATGACAAAAAGGGTTTCACGGGCGCCGCATTGGGACTGTGTGGATCAGTCTGGCCCTTTCTATAACTAACATGAGAATGGACGTTGGGATTCCATTACTTGTCTAACAATTAGTTTTTTTCCCTTCTCTCACCAGGGGCTAATCTTCGGTTTGCCTGACTCTTTATTAATAACCTTTTAATTAAAACCAATAGCTGTGTTGAACAAGAAATGAGTGGCTTCTCTCCTGTGGAAGGGCAATCAATAAGGCCCATCAGTGCTGGTCTGCCAAAGAAAAGGACAACAGAAGGGAAAAACTCGATACAGAGGGAGACTCGATCAGTGGCAAAGGGCAAAAAGATTTGCTGGTCATAAAATAAAAGCCCATTAGATGCTATTTAATGTGCCGTACTTTCAGTCAATGGCCACAGCCTTTATTGAGGTAAAGGAGAAGAGCAAACATTTTGTGGACAAATTAAGAAATTAAGATCCTTGGGTCCTGGCTGTGCAAATTTTCCACCTTATCACCTGACGCTTGCCGTCGCCCCCAAAACCTTTACAACCACAGACATTAGGCAAACCCTTTGGGGGGGGGGGGGGGGTAGAGATAGGGATTAAGATGAAAGAGAACAGCAGAAATATTAGGCCTGAAAAAGGGCCATCAATAGAATTTTATTTATATATTTGGTTTGGTTTTTAAGTGTCATCGGCTTCTGGGGATACTGTGGTTAAAATTCATTGATTGTGGTCCTCAGGACTGAAGAGTTGCACAGTAGATATAAAACCTGGTGATAAATATTCAAACCCCACCTACAAGGGGGAAAAAAAAAACATTAACACTGATGGGGTCAGGGCTGCAGTCTTTTCTCTTTCATTCATTCAAAATTTAGGAGCAGGTTGGAGGGGAGGCTGTTCTGACGGACAGCATCAGCAGTGATTTCGTGGCTGGATGCAGTCGTCTCCTTTTAATTTCATATATATCACGGTCCGTGTCCATCTCTCACGTAGCACTTAGTAGCATCATGCTAACAATAATAAAGCCTGTAGCAGCAAAAATAAAATACAAAAACAAACAAAAAAAAATGGGCAGGACAGTGTGACCTGGTTGAAGAAAAGTGCGTGTTTAAAAATAGAATTCTGCAGACAGGCGCAGGCGAGCAACCCAGACGGGTCGCGGAGCTCATCTCCCGTCGGCTGGCGTCCGCCTCAGCGAGGTCATGACGTGGCTGAAGCGGGCACACAGCTCCGGGGTGGACCAGGCGGGCAGCCGGGGCGGCTGGCTGAAGCTCTTCATCTCTGTCGAGCAGTCCAGCAGCTTGGGGAGGAAATCTGTCAGGGTCTCCTGAAGTTTGGCTAGGAAGACGGGGGCGCCAGGGGTGGGAGGGTTACAAGGAAGACAGGGCTTCATTTTCATCACTTGCTCACTCGTATACGTGGCGTCCTTGCAAAAATGTTCAAAGCAACGTGTGTGTGTGTGTGTGTGTGAGATATTAAACAGGTAACTTCAACCCTGACCTACACTTTCTGTAACCCCACACCAAATAAACACAATCAACATGTCAAGATTCGCATATAAAGTACAATTACATGTATAATCACAATTACTTCAATTACATAAGGATGAATAAGGAACACAGTACCCTCTCTTCCCTTCTCCCAACTAGTGGAATTTTTTTTAAACAAAAAAATTATTTTAAAGTGCATAATATGGAGCAATGAACATCACTTGGTGTTAGCTATTTTCCAAAAAATGTGCTTTGAAGAAGTACTGGATTTGAAACAGATTTATCAAAGTGAAACGGACAAACAGAGGACAGGGTTTATGCCCAGCATGGCAAACACCCGATGTATTGCCAATGGGAACAAGGACCAGCCGTGACTTACGGTCCATCTCCCGGCCCAGGTAGGAACACCAGCGGTTCCTGATGTCCTCCACGGCGGCCACATCCTTCTCCTTATCCCCGTCAGTCAGCAGCAGGGGCAGGCCAGGCACCACGAGCTGGTTCATGATGTTCAGGCCGTCACTCACCTCCGGCTCCTCTCCATACTCGAAAAGGGCTGCCGCCTGCTCATTCAGCTTCTGTGGAGCATGAGCTCATGCCCGTCACGGACGGCCGACCACTCCAACAGAGCAGCAAACCTCCTGAAACTGAACGGGCCTACTGGATGCCTCAGCTATGCTTAGAATTGAGAAAATACACCACGTGCTCGAAACACTTTAAAAGGCTGCTTCGGTTACAGGATACGTTTAATTTATTAAGCCATATTTATTTATAGGAGATTATCTGCGCATATCGCTGTTTTGGATCTCCAACTTCACATCCATTTTTTAATCTGTCTCCATCAGTATTTTGTTACAGTTATGGTCTTTTTGGCTTTCATAATAAACCATCACGGTACGTTGCATAAGGGTAAGCTAGATTTCCTTGAAGACAAAACACAGAAGTGAATATCACGGAATAAAAGCAATCAGAATTCTTGGATCCAATCAAAAGGCCTGTTTCTGACATCGGAGGGTCAGGCCGGGACAGCGGCTGCACCCTGTTTACATTCACTCCTCGCCAGCTTCCTCCTCCGAGTTGCAGACTCAGTTTGGAACACAATAGGGTTCGGTCACGGTGCAGCCAGAAACACGGCCGCTTTCCGAACAAAGACACTGGACAGTTTATGGAAGTATAGCAAAAAAAATTAAATATGCGTCCATTAATTTTTTGGTATTTTTCGAGTCCTATATTTTAAGTTAAATGAACCTGTCATAACTTAAGCGTGTTTTTTAAAACCTGTTGCAAAAAATACAGACTTAAGGACATCCTTGCCGTTTTTGGTTTTGTAATTCAGGCCAGGATAGTAGGGCCTATATTTTAGACCAAAAAAAAAAAAAGACTGCAAGATACATAGAGTTTCATATTGTTTCATTACACAGTAAACCCTTCACAGATCCTGTCTAATTGAATTAAAATGGGGCGATATATCTTGGCAGTAACGGTAAGCACTAGTTCCAGACGCTGCATAAATGCGGCCGTCTTGGCTGGTGACCAAGACTCTGGCGTAACTCGTAGCGCCGAGCACAGCCCAGAAGAACCCCAGTTAACTCACGAGCAGACACGCTCTCCTGTGATGGGCAATCAGCTCCGCATCATGCCCTCGGTAAGGGCCCTTGGAGAGCAACGCTTTGTTGCGCTGATAGGAGTAGATCAGGTACGGCAACGCCTCCACATAGCTGTTGGGGGAAAATCACCAAAAAATAAATGTTCATTTTTACCTTTACATGTAAACGCTTAGCTGTCATTTACATCTGACAATCTGCACTAATGTATTAATTTCTATCCGTCTACCTACCTATCTACTTGAAATGCTGTATGTCAATGATAATCAACTGGTTTAGACTCAGGACTCATTTTCCCTTAGTCATTAAGCCACAAACCAAATCTTAAACATTATTGCCAAATGTATTCCACAACAAAATAGTGCAGTAAAAGTAAATTCAGCATACTGCAGTAACCTTAGCAGAATGCCTTCATGTACAGCTAGAAAACAATAATGAAGTACAACAATTTTTTCTTCAACCACACTCTCTACGACCCAATGAAAATGGTCCCACAAATAAGTTTTGGGTTACGACCCACCAGTTGAACAACCGTGCTCACTGAAATGTTCATAAATGTGCCTTTTAAGTCAAAGTACTAGGTCTTTAAAATCTGCAGCCTATTATTGTTAATGAAGGTGACGATGACTGCATTTATTGATATACTTGATTAATGAGTATATATTTTCAGGGCAGTGTTTTATACGCAGATTAAAAGGTGCTCTCTGGGTGATCCTGACCAGTAAAAGCAGGAGAGAGGTGAATTAATTTTAAAGTAATACTCAAAAATAAACAATACAAATAGACAAAAAGGCAAAGCCTTTACAATGGATGGATGGATGGATGGATGACCAGTATTTAAACGTTCTTACTTTTAGGTAAACATTAAGGTTTAAATATGAGCATATATTCCTGACCCTACAAGACTGGAAATAGTTCCACTTCAGCCCTGAATTACCTAATTAAACTTAACGTTGTTCAGGTAGATGACAATTCCTTGACTTCCTGGCTTGAGACGATTTACAAACCCACCAACACTCACTGGGCTGAGCGCCTCCAGGCCCAAGAACTGTGTAAAATGTGTGTTAAGTATGAATTAGGCAGTAAAATGTTGGCTGCCACACATTCAGGAAAATGAGATTGGCCATAAAAGAAATTACCTGGACGTTTTACAAATATCTGCTTTCTTAACAAGCATTCAATAGGTTTGTGAATCGGGATGAATTTTGGAACTTTGCTGCCCTCTATAGGCACTCAAATGACAGCAGAACTGAATTAAACTAAATCAAGTCAAGATTGAGCCCTTATTTAATTAGGGTTTCAGACATTTTCAACCCCCCTTGATGTCCAGGGACAGCAACTTTCCTTTTGCCCTCTAAATGTGAAAGGCTTGGCACACAAACCAGACAGTGGTGGGGGTGGGGCAGTATGGGAAAGGAGGTGCCGTCTCACCTTCTCTTCTGGACCAGTTCCAGACCAATCATCAGGAAGATTGTGGTCTCCCTAAAGTTCCTATACTCCTGATGCCAAATCTGAAAATATATTAGCCATTATCAGGCAATCACAACTGGGACAAATCTCCAACAAGGTAGATCAAGAGGGAATGTGTCAGAGACTGCTAATAAAATTAAATTTTTTAAATCAACAATTTTTTTTCACTTCCACTTCCGTAACTCCACTGTCTACCAGCATGGAGGTAACTAGTCATGTAATGGTACCGTATGGTACCTACTGAGGAAACTAGGTCTGTTTGCTGGTAATGCATTATCATACTGGACCCATAGCAAATCATTGCAGCGAAGAGGTGACTCTCAGCGAATAGAGGGTACAAAAGATAAACATCCTTGGCATTCTCAAACTCAGGCAAAGACATTCCAATAAGATTAGTTAACCTTTCGTCCACTTCGACGCAATGCGTCTGAAGAATGCCCGCAAATGCCAAGTTTTCCATTTTAAGAAATGTTCCCATTAGTCTGAAGGGGGGAACACTTTGCGCCAGTTGATGTTTCGGCAACGAGCAAAAACAAACAAAAATAAATAAAATGTTCAAAGGAACTGGCTTGGAGAAGCTGAAAACTACAGCAATTCTGACCTCATATTGTTCCATATTTACTTCATCCGGCCTTATAAGATCTAGCTTTGCACGTGCAACTTTCATAATGTTCTTACATCTGGGGAGGAAAACAAAAAAAAGAACCAAAACATTTCATATTCTAACAAATAAGCAAATGTTGACCACCATACCAACACGGTAGTGTTGGCTGGGGGGGGGGCGTTACACGTACCGCTCATCGTAGGCCAAGCTGGGGTCAGTAAACTGCGTGAGAAGAGTCCTCTCCAGGATCTTCTTAGGTGCCTGGTTCTGGATGAGGTAGACCATGACGTACTGTATCCGAAGGTCATGTTCGGGTTGGGTGACCTCCCAGGCCAGATGGAGCAGACGGGCGTACTCCGCTTTGATGGCCTGCGAGGTAACAGAACGGGGGGCAGAGGGAGACAGAACAGTCAGTCTTCCCAGACGTCACCCAGCCAGTGGCTAACCAGTCTCAGGTGCTCCTTTATTTGGGAAAGGTTCTCTGACAATGGCTAAACAGTGCCACCTATCCAGAGGGCTATGGAATAACAACAACAAAAAAATATGCCAGCACCAATACAAAGAATCAAGTCTGTTTTGCAATAACATAGTTATACAGCTGTTACTAATTAGTGTCTTATTGGAGCTACTTGCAACTCACTTCCAAGCCCTTTAATGCTTAAGATGTTCCAACTAGAGTACTGTGCAAGTCGTAAGTAATCATTCAATATTGTTTAAATGACTATTTTCAGCAACCGTCCAATATATCCATTGTTTTTTTCTGAGCAAATATACACTTATTACCCAGATAAATAGCTTCAAACACTTTCTTTGACTGTCTAATACTTCTGCACAGCACCATAAAGGTCACCAGTAACTCTCATCAGCATTTGCAATACTTGTCTCGATTCTCAACCACCTTCAAACATCCTAACAATGAGGACCCAAGAAACAACTGCTAACACACATTTACTATTCATATAAATAGAAACAAAGAAATACTACAAAATTCTAACAGAAATGCACCATAATGAAATGCACCATAATGAAATGCACCATACTGAAATACACCATACTGAAATGTTAAACTAGCTACACTACAGGTCTGCACCCAGGGGCCCGATGAAGGGGGGCGGCGGGCGGGGGGGGGGCGGCAGTTAGGATGATTCCAAGGGCTCCTGACTGGCAGGGGCCGTGAAAAATTTCAAACATAATCAAATTGGTCTGGGTTGAGGGCCCAAAATGATACGCTTTCATGGGCCCAAAATCTCCAGTAGCACCCCTGTCTGCACCAAAGCTCACGGCTGACCTGAATCATAATTAAGAGGACACTGAAAACAGTTCAAAAGCACTAACACCAGGACGGTAATTACCAAATTACTTTTAAGGAGAGAACTCGCTTTTCAAAAATATCAACTTTGACTAAATCCACAGGACAAAGAGTAACCAGCACAGGACAGCTTGCTAGAATGCGCAATGTTTTTGGAAAAAGGAGGGAATGTGTGTTTGAAAGCATGCTGGAGGAACAAGCTGGGAATAGGAGGTACCTTGAAGAAGGCTGCCTCCGGGCCATATTTCTCGTACACGCTCCGTGCCCTGCCAATGGCCAGGATTATTCCCTGCATACTTGGGGTCAGAATCTCCTGGGCCGATGATGGAACCATTTTACATTAGATGGAAAGGAGGTTAGCTACTGCAGGTGCCATATGGGAACTTGCACAATCCTCAAACCAACGAGCAAAAAAGTATAGAGGGATCGCATTCCGTCATGCAGCACTTGAGAAGCACACTTTACTGGATTGCCAAATGATTGCTACATGCGAATAGGAGTTCCAGTATGACACGCACGGTAAATAATACATTATCAGGTTGCCCCTTAATTACACAAAAGTGCTGCCTTCAAGTAGTTCTCAGGGTGAAATTTGCCATGAAGTCACGAAATTAAGTTGCTTAAGACATCCAGGAATTCAGGCCATTCAACATGGATTTAGCACAGGTGGGCACACAGAGCTTCATAAGCACAAACACCTAAAGCATTCAATAACTGGATTTGTACATCTAATTCCTCAAAACAGAAGTTCTTCATAGGTGTCCAATCAAAGAAAATCTATAGTAGAATGAATCTGGAGATCATCGAAGACATGAGGATAAATTCAATAATACAATTCTTTTTAAGACACTTAAAAAAAGTAAAAACTTCAAATTTATTTCTTCAGAGTAAGAGCAGAATGTTTTGAATGCATATAAACACTACAAGTGGTAGCTATTTTTTTAGCTACTAAGAATCAAGCATCAAACAAGCGTAAACTTAGAGACACTTCTATAATGTTCAGGTAGGGTAGAACTAGGCATTCATCTTCACTAGAGGCATCTATTTCAGAACCATGCCAGCAGTACACAAGCCGCCCCCCCCACCCCCCCCA